ATTTGTAATCGACTACAAACACTAGTAGATTCATTCAAACTGGGTCAGACTCCATGATTTTTCTCATGTTTTAGGGGTTTCCACGTAAAAACTCTGGTGTCTCTTATGAACGCTGCACCATCTCTTTTATTTGATTGTGTGATAGATCTTCGTACAAACCTAAGACATTAAATTTAATATTTCTCTATTGCCGCAAATATTCCATGACACAACATATGTAATATAATACCTAACTAATTAATCATATATTTAATATTGATCTATATCTTTTGATCTTTAACATGAGAGATTAAAGGGCAATTAAGAGGCAAAAAAAGGTCTTAAGATAGAATGCCAATATTATTTATAGAATATACTGCCATGCATAAGGAGCACGTGTATTATTACACTTTCTATCTTCTTAAATAAAATTTATATTTATAATATTCGATTGGTTTAAAAATATAATAGCGATAATGGGATTAATGTTACTGGCCTAAAGGTCCTTGGCGGGACCTAAGCCTGTTTTTATCACAACAAACCGTGATTACGCAGCACACAAACAAAGAAATTAGAAACTCCATGATTTTTATATAGAAAACTCTAGAAAAGGAGAAAAATCACAGGGTCACGCCCAGTTAAAATAATTACATTAGTATTTGAATATATTTTAAAGAATCTTCTTAAACTTAAGGACGATCAGATTACAAAAGTTAATGTGGGTTGATGAACTTCTTGTAATGGTGGTCGGGCAAAAGTATAGTGGTGGTAGAGTGGAAGTTCGAAGGTAAATACGACGATCATACTTCTTGAGTATTGTAAGTTGGGTATTCAGCTGAACCCTGTTTTGTCCCTTCGGGGCCATATAAGGTTCTCTTTAGACCCGATTATAATATTCAAGATGAGTCCATATAATTCTGAGTCTGAACACCGTTATGAAAGTTTATATTTTTCCCCCGGGATAATATATTCCTTCTAACGAGTTGGTTCGACCTTAGAGTTAGAGCTTAACCTTAATTTTGGAATCCCCAAAGAAAACTAGTATCTTTTCAAAACATGTTTTCAAAATTCCACCAACAATGTGCGGAAGTCCGGTAACGATTAGTGGTTGGGCGGAAGTTCAGCGACGGTCGATGGACGGACAAAAGTCTGGTGATGATAAGTGACCTGACGAAAGTCCAATGATGATTGATGGCCATGAAAATCCGATGATGATCGGTGGCCGTGCAATGGTCGAGGAGGAGAAACTGGTGCATGGCAACATAGCTCCAAATTTCTCTTCATCTCTTCTCTTCTCTCTCTTGCTTCCTCCTCCTTCAATGAAGAATGAGGGGTCTATTTGTAGTTTCCTAAGAGTTGCATGACCAGTAAATAAGAAAAATATCGAAGGCATGTTAATGGACGGCCGATATTGACTCCCTTGATCATTGACCTTTTATTTAGTATTTAAATGCCTTAATGATAACAAAATTTGACAAACTTGGGCTCGTTGAATTTTTCTCATCGAGCCGCTCGATTCGAGTATAAGCATGTAACATTTGGTCATCCAATGTATGCTTTCAATTTTCTAAATGTGTTTCAGACCCTCAATTTGGACCCATTTGGCCTCGGATTGGATCAAAATTGGTGTCGTTGGCTTCATCTTTTCGAGACGTTCAGTTCGGCGATAAGTTCACTAAAATTGGAGCTCTTGTGGCCCCGAATTTAATTTTGAAAGTTTCCCATTCAAATTTACCTTGAGATTTGTGCTCAATCAAGATAAGTTTTTGATGATATATCAGTTGATCCCTTATTTTTGAATGTAAAAGCCTGTAGAGTCCAACAATATGTGTAGGAGCTCTTCAAATCGTTCCAATGCAAAATTATAATTTTCAGATAATTATGAGTCACGACCGCTCACTAAACATCAACGTGGATCTCCTCTCCTGGCCGTGAATCAAAGTAAAATACCTTCAATTACAAATTTAGCATTTTCTAAAGTTGGCACGTCTATTTGAGCTAAAAATATTAAAAAATTACTCTCCAAAATTTTGAAATTGCTTGAAATTGATTGTGTATACCCCTTTTAGCACTGAAAGTATCAAAATTGAGTCTGAAACGTCAGAAAACAATTTTGGGGACCTCAAAAAAACGTAACAATTGCGCTGTCAGAGATATGACCATCCCCAATTAAATATTCTCCTAAAAATAGTGTGATAGTAAGGGATTTATAAGCTTTTGGTAATTGAGATAGGAAGGTGAACCAAAGAAAGTCCACAACCCTCCCCTACCTAACACACATAATTTATATTAAGTTAATTATTTTGTTTAAAAAGCAAAAAATGTGATGAAATCATGACAATGCAACCCATCAGCCGCGACCAAGCTGTTTACAATGGCAGCATATACATTGCTGACATGGCTCATTTTAATTGGTTTTCGGATGTAGAGTTGTGTTCGACATCCGCACAGATTAACTTCTCCCATAAGATTTTGAATTCGGATCCGTCTTATTGTTTTCTAAAACAACTTTTTAATACTATAAAATTGTTTTAAAAAATAGTAAGAAAACTATTCCAAAAAGTCTTAGAATTATCTTCATCAAAATATAAGCAATAAACTCTCGAGAGATAGAAGCAATCACATTGCCGGTTTATATGGAGTTGTGAAAGAAGAAAATTAATCCTAAAAAAAATAAAAAAAAAATCATCTCATGTGATTATCGAAGTAAACTACCCTAAAGTCATAAATTATCTCTCAACAATTAAGAATAATTCTCAAAAGTTTGAAATTGAATTTTCAAATCCACAAGATTTTTATTGATTTATTTTATTCATGTATTTATCTATCTATGTTTAGAAATAAAATTTGACCCCCTTTGTCTTCATTGAAGCAAGACATAAATATTTTGAGGTGTTACACCAATGAAGAAATAATAAAATTATTATAAATTTCAAGTTAAAGGTAACCCTATCAATTTTTTTATCGAATTATTTTTTTAAGACATTTCCTTCTTCCTATTTAGGGTATAGAAAAGTAGAGATATTATTCTTCAATATAACCAATATGCTTTCATGCTATAAATTTAATTTATTCATGATCAACCCACATATTTAACTAGGGCAAGAAGATCACTTTAGATGAAAAAAAAAATTCAATATGTAAGGAAAACAAGATAAGACATAAAGCTCTTAAATCGACTATGAGATTAGTGCATGATTAACTTGATATGTATTACACTCATCTTAAAGTATAACAAAAGACTTTGATGTTCATACAAACTTTTTTTTTTTTTGCTTACTTTACACCTATTTTCATAAACTTAATCTAATTTAAAATATAATTAATTCTTGAATCTTAATATATCTTGAAAACTAAAAGGGTTCTAATCGCACTCGCCCACCAAAGAAGCTAAGCAACGGTAGATATAATTTTTTATCTCACAGATTCTATTAGAAACAATGTAAAATATGTACGTACATACAAAGAGCAGTACTCCTTCCTATCATTAACCAATACGTACGTACGGTATCATTATATATTTAAATTTTTAACTATCAATTTTTTATAAAAAAACATTTGTACGGCCAATTAAAAAAAAATAAAAGATAACAATAATAATTTTATAAGAAATTTAATTATTAATAATTCATAAACTTGCAATAGCTGCACAAGCACGCAGTGTGTAATGCCAAGTGTTAGATATTGGTTTTTTGCTTAGAGATCACATATCATAAATAATTATTAATATTGCATGTCGTGAAATGCAAATATTCAGATTTTAATATAAAGATCGTTAGCCTCAAAAACTATAATGACAAAAATAATAAACAAAATGATAAGCATCAAAGGTACAGCTAAAACCCTAACAACAACCTATAATGAAGAGAATAGAATCAAATTAAAAAAAAAAAGAAAAAAAAAAAAGAATCAAATAAACAAGTCATTCAAATGGAGATGCAAAGGAAAAAGAAAATAGCCTCTCAAATATGCCTCTAATTCGAAATTAATTAGATCCCTCTAGCAAAAATATATAGATCAAGAGTATATTTAATATTCCTGCATTAACTAAAAAAAATTATTACGTGCGAAATCCGGACTGGAAGAATCATCTTGATTGCTGCATATTTACTTAGTATTTGTCGAGTATTTAATACTCACAAAATACTCAACAAATACTCACAAAATGCTCAACAAATACTCGTAAAATACACAGTAATACTCACAACTGAGTATTTGTAAACACGCAACAAGTCCGGACAATCATCCTCATCCAGACTCAGCACGTAATAATTTCTCTTAACAAACAACTATATAACGAGGGGTACCAAAATACATACAAGGCTTTTTTTTTAGAGGGAGGACATTTAGACCAATTGAGATAAATTTACACATCATATATATATATATATATATAACTCAAATCGAAGATTTTTTATTTGATAGTCAAAATTCTCAACTAACAAATCAATATGAACATAATCTTAAAGAACAAAATAAAGGATTTTCAAAATCTTGGACTTTTTATAAAACATAGCCTGAGCATGAGGGAATAAAATAATACTTACCCTTTTTGAACTATATATCTCACATTATCACATAAAAAAAAACATATCAATATTAAGCATACTCGACTAAAAGCCTAAATCCATCAGGATGCACAGTGGGGATTCAATGCGGTGTAAAAGCAAAAAAAAAAAATTTTCAAATTATAACGTATCCCCACCGTACTACTACAATGTCCTATATCAAGGCCATGCTTGTTATGGTATTTTTGACTATTTCATTCTCATTGATTAATTAATATTCTGAATGAATTTTTTTACTAATAATAGAAATCATCAAACATACGTAGCGTGTACTGCAGCAATATGCGAGGTGTCAAACATATTTAGATTGAAAAAGTGGCCAAATTACTTGGCCTCCATTACAGATTGATCATATTTAAAGGCTATGAAAATTGAAACTGTATAATTTTAGAAGATCAAATAAGCGAGAGAGAGAGAGAGTTAGAGAGAGAAAGAGTTAGAGATAGAGAGAGAATGGCTTGGAAAAGGCTTTATTGGGATCTGACATTTGTGCCATTGGGAATTGTAATTTCTACAGTATATCATTGCTGGCTATTGGTAATGATTAAGAAGCACCCGCAGAGAACAAGCATAGGAGTAAGCAATACTGGACAAAGTATGTGGGTTGCAGCCATGCTGAAGGTAATAAGAACATATGAAAATTTCTTTATTTTTTTTTTCTTTTTTTTATATGCGATGAACAATGTATTATACTTTTATTGCTATTGTTTGTTATAATTAATTTTGATAAATAATTAAATTTGTTATAATTAATTTGAATTGTCTTCCTACCACAGGAGAATGACAAAAAGAACGTACTTGCAGTTCAAAGTCTGAGAAACAGCCTGATGGGGTCATCGCTAGTAGCCTCATCATCCTTCCTCATCTGCTGTGGACTTCTGGCCTTCACAAGCACCATCTCCGACAAGCGAGAACTCGTCCTGACCAACTTGAACCAGGTCGAGGTTTCGCACAAGTCGGCCATCCTCATCCTCGCCTTCATGGCTGTCTTCTTTCTCCAGACACTTTCAATAACTTACCTGAACCAGCTTGCTCTGGCCATTAACACACTCGTACTCCCAGAAACCAGAATAACGGTTGAGCAACTGTTGATGATGCTGGATAAGGGGATTCTCTTGAGCATAATTGGTAATCGTCTCTTCTTCACCGCGATGCCGCTCGTCCTTTGGATCTATAGCCCAGTGCTAGTCTTTGGCTCTACTTGTGCAGTTGTTGCAGTTCTGTACATTACTGATATTGTTCCTAGGAAAAAAACTGTGGGTTATGAGAATAATGAAAATAGGGAAGTTGTTGCTCCATAATGTGTGTATTTTTGTCAATTAAGATGGTTTTAGTATTCATTACATTAGTAGAAACAAAGTTTTATCCCTCATTACCTTGTTTAAATTTCATGATTTAGGATTCGTTTGGAACGGCTTTTTTGTTGCTTCTTAAAACAGCTTTTTAGTACGAAAATTAAAAAGCTGCTTTAAGAAGCAACAAAAAAGTCGTCCCAAACGAAGCCTTAGTTTAAATGTATAGATGCACAAGAAACAGATACAAAAAACTAATCATTGATGATTGATTAAGAATCATGTGATCGAATAACAAGTATATAATGAATTGAAGTTATAGGTGGACTCTATACAGGATAGATCTAGAGTAGCACGTAAAGCAAAACTGATGGGATGAGAGGAGAGTTGGATAATGTGTTTGTAAGCTTCACTTCTGCTGAGCAGTTTTAATGCATGTGAGAATTGCTTTCTTCTGTTCTTCACCAGAACTAGGGTTGTACATTGAGTTCATAATCCAGTGAAGGAGGGCAGTGGGTGCTCAATTTACCCTCTCTAAATCTTTGAATTCGAGATCTGAAAGTTTAAAACATAGTAAATGAGACAATGTGCATCAATATTATAGAGAAATAGGGAACAATTGGTGTACCTCTAACATTTGGATGGCAACTAAATTCTTGACACCCAACTTGCACACGAGTTCAAGCGCATGTGCCCGCTGGCCAAAACCCAAAAGTTGAGAGGAACTAAGGGATTCAAAAAGATTTCACAACCTGAAAATAAAGATCACAGGTTAATAGAAGGATGGCTTAGAATGTACTCCAGCACAAATACCTACACACTCGAATGCGGCCAAATTAAGAACAAGCAAACTAGAAAATGAATCTTATCTAGGATGGCTTACAATAGACTCCTTCAGTTATTGCGCGGAGGTGGTTTTTTGACAGTAGCAGCATTTGATGGCCTTCCAATTTTCTTTGAAGAAATTAGAGCCGAAGGCAGCAATGCTTCGATGTCATCACGCTGTCGTTTCCTAGCTGCCAACAAGTCTTTTGCAGTAGTTTTGACATCTGATGGCTTAGACTTTTCTATAGTGCCTTCTTGTTGAAATGATTTTCCAGATGATAGCAAATTTGTTGTATTTTCTCTTGGTTTACTAGGTGGGGAATGTCCAGAAAACTTGTTGACTACTTTATCTACTGTTTTCAGAAGAGAATCTGCTCTTAACTGCACATTCTCAGGGATAACTTTGGTCCCTCCTCTGCTGCACTTGGCATTCTTCTGCGAGGTGTTTCCAGAACTGGCCAAACCATCATCTTGCTTCTGAAGTTTGATGGTTTCATCTTCATGGGCCGTTGTTGCATCAGTGACAGTGAATTTGTTGTTCTTGTCATTTGCCGCTCTTTTATTTCCTTTGGAGCCAACTAGCCCAGATTTCCCTGTTGAATGCACCAGTGGTTTGCTTCCTGCAAGCTTTGTCTTCTTTCTGTGAGCATCTCTCTCATTATTTTTGTCTTGTTCAATTTCACGGCGAGATTTGGCCCTCTCATTCTTCTTTGCATGACTTTGATGGACATCAACCCTGGAAAAAGATGAGTTTCCTCCGGATAATGATACACTCCTCTCAAAGAAAGAATCATAAGGCTTGACAACTGAGATGAACAAATTTCTTTCTTTAGCATTTTGGACTAAAGCTGCCCAATGAGGATTTGTCTGCAATGTCCTTGCATTACCAACTATCCACAAAGAAATTTTCGCTCTTGTTAAGGCTACATTCATACGTCTTATATCTGCAACAAAGCCTATACCAATTGAGTTTGTCCCCACCGATGTAAAACTAGAGATGGAAGACCTAACAGTTGTCAATACTACAATGTCCACTTCACGCCCTTGAAATCCATCTACAGTGTTGAACTCCATGTCATAAACAGTACTTGACCCAAATACACTGGAAAAGCGAGACCGTAAGAGATGAAGCTGGCTCTTATAAGGAGTTATGATCCCTATTTTTCTAGAGGTAAAGTCAGAAGAGTATCTGCAATAATAGTTAGGACATGTTATATGGCATGATCACTCAAAAAGCCTAAAGAAAAACTAGTGTATTACCTTTTCCTTAAGAACCTCATTATAGTGATAGCTGCCTCAGTCTCAGCCTCATTATAAAGCGACAAAGAGCCAGAACTCTTTCCATGATGCTCACGACCATCAGGGATATCAAAAAATATATAAGGACCCAAATAAACATGCTCATGAAATTGAGCGGATTTGCTTGCTGCACCAACGCCGTTCTGTAGCTTGTTATCATAGAAGTGCAATGATGGAAAACTGCATATCTCTGGATGCATTCGGTACTGACCGAAAATATAGTGAACGATAAGAAAATATTAAATATCATTCGGCTAAAAAAAGTTCTAGAACAAATTTATCAAACCCTAACAAACTTCCATATCTATGAAGTGGCAAAAAGTTGCTTTAATACAAATATACAACAAAAAAAGTACATCAAAATTATCACTGATTCTATCCAGCCCAAGAACAAATGAAGCGTTAGATGTGCAAACCACAGATTAGGGTTAATATTGCTCATTTAATTGTGCAGCAACTAATAGGATTGCACTATTTCTTGAAGTACAGATGAAAATATACAAAATCAATTTGGGGTCATGTAGAACTCTTGCTAAAATTTTAAAAGTTAAGAAGGAAACATGAAATGTCAATCAACGACTGTAAGTAACATCAATTAGAAAACGTAGGACTGGTGATTTCAAACTAGACCAAGGATAAGTCAATGCAGAAACACATGCAATGAAAGTAGGTTGGCTTGGAATGAAAAGGGCACCTGAAACATGAAAGCCAAATACAATAGGGAAAACAACTGGGCCAACTGAATGAGGCTCATATTTGAACAAGGCAAGTGAAATACTTTGAGGAAAGCTCCAACCTTATCATTCCGTATAAAAGGTTAAAATAAGAATGTTGTGGTAGGATTGTGTGATCGAATAATTTGGTTGGATTGATGACCAAAGCAAGGAACCCAAACAACTTGGTTATCCAAGCCATCAAAATAACAAAAATTTCTTTCATTTTCTATCGTATAACGAAATAAACCAAAAAAATTGATTAGTTTTATTTTTAAGTGTTGGCTTAACCAATTGAACCAGTCTAACAAAAATAATAGATGGTTGAATACCAAAATAGCTTTCTAGTACAAAAATTCCTAGTTCAAAAAAATTTTGTACTAAAAAGTCGTTGTAGAAAGCAATAAGAAAAATATCCCAAATGAAACCTTAATCATATTAGTGGTGGCGATTATCATTTTTCATCGCCTTAATTGTCAAGAATCGACTATAGCAGTTCCCCGGATCTTGGCAATAAAAAATCACCATATTGTAGCAATGGTGATTGTCAAATGGACAGCAGAGGCATTCGCCCAATGCAACATTCATTAAACAAAGGTGCTCAATGATGACCGCAATAGTCATCGGAAAATAGTTGCAGATATTATCAATTAATGACACCGATGATTGAGGCCTGTCGATGGCGACAATAGCTACAATAGTTGGAGTATGACAGGAATACTATCAGTCTAAGATAGCAGTAGTACTAGACAATAAATAATGATCACCTATCAAGAACAATGATGGTGTTGATGGTCAATGACACCAGGAACATCATGCAACACATGGACAATGAAGACAGCCAAATACAAGCAACAAACTTAGTCAAATGCCTAAGCAATACAGCAATGACACCCTTCAATTGGACACCAATAGTATTGATTTGATCATCTCTGATTTCATTAATATTTGATAGCGTGCATCAGTTGTCTGGCTTATTTTTTTTAGTTAAGTAGATTTTTTAACTAAACCAAACAACAAAATAAAAATATTTCAAAATTTTCATAAAAAATGACCATTAAAATAAAACCCCGTGATTGTGTCATGCAGTATTCTTATAAGCCTAATGACACTTGCTGGAAACACAGGACTGCCTCATTATGTCACTGAAGAAATAAAGCTTCTTTATAGATAGGTTAACAATGCTAAAAATCGCCACCAGGACTTCATCTCATCTATAGTGCTTCAGAGGTCATTGTGGCATGATTGAATATAGCGGAGTTTCAGCATATTAAATTATTCAATTCAGTCATCTAGACCTAGGGGGTATTCAACAATTTATTAACTTGAAGTGATAAAACTTTGAGATGGTTAGATTAACATTTCAAGCTGAGGTTTATTTGGGTGTAGGTTCATATGTCTGATAATTTTTTCTTCTAGATAAATGTTTCAAGACTTTACAAGAAGAAGAACGTAGGAAAAGTAATAAGATTGATCACTGAATAAAATTCTGAAAAAGGCCATATTGCAAGGTGTTGAATCACGTAGCCAATGCAGGGCCACATCAGCAATCCGTGGGATATGATTATTATAATTAATTAGATTAAATGTCTTTTATTTTTCTGTTTATTCTCCTAGAACGTATGTATGTATGTATATATATAATGATTCCAAGGAATAGAATTTGAATTCCCCTCAAAACAATTTCTTCATGGTATCAGAACTTAAGAAAATCCTAAGCCTTCTTTGAGTGCCAGCAGCAAACCTTCCTTCCTTTCTTCCAAACCCTCAACCGACGGTAACTATCCATCATCTTGTCAATAGCCTCTCTTCAAGCACCGATAGCCATTGCCAAAAATTCATCTTATCTTTCAATCGAGGAACCCCAACCATGTCCATGGATAGCAAGATCTCATCCTCCTACTCAAATATTACCGGTTTAAACACCAGAAACTCTGGATCTGTAGACAACTCTTCTCTTCTTCCTACTCCAGAAGATGAAACCAGCATACACGCTCACTCAAGTATAAAATAGTCAAAATTTTGGGTTATTGGCTCAGGGGCATCAATCACATGACAGGAGACATTACACTCTTTCATGACTATCAACTTTATCATTCAAATCGAGTAGTTAAGGTTGCTCATGACTCAACATCCAAAGTTTTGGGAACTGGTTCCGTCTTTGTCACATAAGCTATCACCCTTAAATCGATGCTTTATGTGCTCAATCTTGAGTGCAATCTAATTTCCATTAGCAAATTGACTTGTGATAGTAATTGCTTAAAAATTTTCTTCAATAATGTATGTATTTTTCAGGAACTGGATTCGGAGAAGAATGGCAATGCTGAGATGCGTTTTGAGTTATATTACATCAAGACACCTAAATTCATACAAACCTTAATTGCTGCTAAGAATCATCCTATTGTACGTCAATTGGTTGAGAGACATTCTAGAGTCAATCAAGATAGAGATATTATCATGTTACATTATAGGTTAAGTCATCCAAATTTCATGTATCTTGAAAAGCTTTTTCCCCATTTATTTATTAATAAAAATCCAAGTTTGTTCAAATGTTAAACTTATCAATTGGCTAACATACCAGATCATCTTACCCGTTCATTATCAACCTTCTAAACCCTTTTCCTTGATCCATAGTGTTATTTAGGGACCCTCAAGGGTTAAAAATATAAGTGGAGCAAGGTGGTTTGTAATATTTGTTGATGATCATACAAGATTCACTTGAGTTTATTTAATGAAGGAAAAATCTGAAGTTGCAAAAATATTCAAATCATTTCAACTTACGATTCAATATCAGTTTGATTCAAAAATTCAAATCTTAAAATCAGACAATGGGGGAGAGTGCTTCCATTCTATCATGAGAGAATGCCTATCAAGCCAAGGGATAATCCAAGCGAGTTCATACGCGTATACGCCTCAACAAAATGGGATAGTTGAGAGGAAAAATATGCAACTCTTGGAAGTTGCCAGATCTATTATGCTATTCACAAAAGTAACAAAATATTTATGGGAAAAAGCCATTTTTATTGTTGCATACCTAATAAATAGGTTACCTACTCGGGTACAAAAATTTGAAACACCTAAACAAACTCTACTTAAAGCCTATCCTCATGTTCGGTTCATATCATCAAAGCTTTCACCTAAAGTTTTGGATGCTCTGCCTTTGTTCATATATATCCACAAATGCGATTATTATAATTAATTAGATTAAATTTATTTCCTCTTCTATTTATTATAATTAATTAGATTAACACGTCAGCAATCCTTGGGCTATAGTTGGAGAACCGTGGGATATGATTATTATAATTAATTAGATTAAATGTCTTTCACTTGTCTGCTTATTCTCCTAAAATGTATATATATAATGATTCTACAGAATACAATAGAATTTGAATTTCCCTCTAAATAATTTCTTCATAACTAAAATGACTAATTAAGTTTCCTTCATTTTGATATGGAGGCCATGGATAGTAAACATGAAATCAAGCTATTTATAAATGAAGAAGTGCTTTGGATTTGAGTCAAATTAATCAAAATGCTCATCTCAAAAAGCCTATAAATAGAACATCATTCTCTACATAGAGTAGATCAAAGAGTAGAGAGAAGAAGAGAGTTTTCTTGTATTTTCTAGCTCGTCGCCGCTGACGACAACCACCAATTCACACCGCCACCGACGACCACCAACAATTCTCTCTATTGACAACAACCATAACTCTCGCCTACAACCACTACCAGCAATCGCCACTACTGTCTACAAACTACAATCAAAATCGAACCCTGCTATTGGGTTTCAATTATTCGCCTGCGGACACCAGAGATTTGTAATTCCTACAAAAGAGAAATCATACATTTTATTCTCAAATAGTCTTCTTATTCTTCAATTGTGAGGAAGGAAGGGTTTTTGTATCTCTTAATATATAACAGATTTTTCAACTGGGTCAAGCCCCGTAGTTTTTTCCCTTCTCGAGTTTTTCACATAAAATTTTTCTAATCTTCTACAACTTTTTATCTATGTGTATTGATTGTTTTCAAAGTTAAGACATAAAATACCAACTCTACCGACGCAAATGTTCTAACACAAAAGGATAGATTTTTCTCCTCTCGGATGTTGTTCTACTCCATAGAGTACTTCTCTTTTAGTCACTAGTATGATCCAAACTCACCACACCTTTTAGGATATTGAATCCACAATTAACCATGAATCACAACAAACTATACTAAGAATAATGAGTGAAAGAGCAAACAAGAAAGTAGAGAGAGAAGGAAGAATTAAAGAGTAAGAAGCTCTATGATTTTAGTAAAATAGACTTGAGTGCAAAGAATTGAGTAGTTAGAGATTGATTGAGTAAAATTGCAAAAAGTTGGCTCACCCCACAACCTCCTATATATAGATTGGAGTTAGGACTTCAGCATTACAGAATTTTTTACATATATGACAATACAAAAAATATAAGAAAATATAATAGTTATGTAGCCTGGTTGAAAGGTCCAACTTGATGAGTTATTTGCTGGTTTTTTTAATTAGTTATCCAGTTGATAGTTGGATATTTGAGTATGAGTATTTAATCAATAATTTTTCTTGCGAAATCATCGCTTCTTGAGTAGTCGTCAAGGAAGACTTTAAAGATAGCAGTCGCTAGAGCCAACAATTAGGCTTTATTCACCCAATAGTACCAGTTCTTGAATCATGTTCGACTACTTGAGGCGAGTTCTCTTGCAAACTAGTGAGTTTGAGACCATGTACAAAACTTCAGCATCCCAGCCTTCTTGTCCATCATAATCAAAGAAAATAATTTTAAAAAAAAATTAAAAGAAAAAACAAGTAGAAGCACTTTTCAAACGGCCAAACCCAATGCTATCTTCCACCTGCTTCCGCGTTAATAAACTACAGAAATTTAAATACTTATCAACATAAGGGCAAGAGAAACATCGAATATTTGTTTACTCCTTGTTTTTAAAATTTTGGTGTTATAAAGGTAACGATTAGAAAGGAGATGACAAAGTTTTAGCATTTGAGAAAAATTAAGTACAAATTATATATAAGAGGTCTTATCAATTAAATTTTCCAGGATTTTTGGTTGGATGGATGATAATGCATCAGTTTAAATTTGGTGAGAAACATTAAACAAAAGCTACCGGCGTTAAGAATATATGACTTCTAATTAGGAAATCCCATAAAAAAAATCTAGAGACTGACTTGCAATTTGGTTCACCTGTTCAGTTAACAGTATCACGGGGTGCCCTGCTCTTTGCAATCTTTCAAACATGCTACACTCATAGAGAAATTGGCTAGCCACACTGGAAAGTACAGTAGCAGGAAGCTGTTTGGGATCCCCAACCTGCAAAATGCACAATCAAAAATTAGATCCGAAGCATGGACAATGAATAAATTAAAATATACCTCTGATTAATACCATTATACATTTGGCTCCATTTGACTTCAAAAGTTGCAGTGGAATGAGAGTTGCAGGTTCAAGAGCCTACAAAAAGTTCTAAATTTAAATTACCCTCATAAATAAAAACTTCCAAAAAATAAATAAAGTGGAAATCACATACTTGGGCTGCTTCATCAATTACAACTACATCAAAGAAACACTGATCAGAAAACTTCCCTGAATTACCGCTAGAGGAAGATTCATAGCAAACTTCATACAGATCACCACCACACCCACTGAGTGTTGTCACCACAATTTCAGCCTCTCTTAGGATGGATTTCCGCAGCTTACGCTTAAGGGCCCTGCTTTCTTCAGAATTCTTCTTTTCTCGCGCCTGAGCAGAAGCAAGATCTTGAAAAATTATTTTTTTCTCCCTGTACAGATTGTTCAGTTTTCCCCCTATTTCTGCATCGGACATTTCTTTAAAACTATCCTCCTTAGAAATATCACCACCAGAGGTACCCTTCACGTTGGCATCCCCATCTTTTGATTTAACACGCTTGGATTCATAGTACTGTATTCTTTCAACTAGCTTCTCCAGTTTAGCACGAATTGATCTTGAAGTCTCAACAGTAGAGTCATTTCCTCCATCTGCAGTTCCCAGGGTTGTTAGTTCTTCTTCCAGCCGTATTTGAACAAGTGTGTCAATAAAAAAAGGCAGAGAATTAGGATGAACAGTTTTTGCATTGCCAACTCTCACAATGAAAGGTTTGTATATTTTTCCATCATTCCCACAAAGCCCTTCACTGATTCTTGATACAAGTTCATCAACTGCTGCATTTGATTGTGCACAGATAAGAACCCTTCCTTTCGAAGCACATTCTATAAGCATTGAAGATTCTTTCTCTGCATCTTTAAACAATTGTTTTGCAAAAGCCGCATCTTGCCAAGCTCTTGCAACTGCTGTAGAATGGGTAAGATGTGTCCTAGGATTGGAGAAGGTTCTGACTTCTCTGTTAGTGTCGGTTAACACGTTGGATGAATAGCTTTTTGGGACTCTTTGAAGAGCAAGCAACGCACCAACAATAGCAACAATAGTTCTGGTCTTACCAGTTCCTGCATCAATTTTTTGCATAGATCAGAACTTCTAAATTTTTACAGCTACAGACATTCATTTTTTAACTGTTAATTGCAATTGAAGGGAATAGAACCTGGGGGACCCTGGATGAGTGAGAGGTCAAATTTTCGTGAAGCATGTGCTCTGATGGCATCACTAATAGCCTGGAGCTGACTGACATTAAATGATGACTTCAACGTGTCTTGCATGAACTGAGAGAGCTTACTTAGGTCTAGTTTTTGCGGTTTGGTATGCCGAGGAGAATGATCAGCAGGATTCAAGATGATGGGAAGCATAGGAATCGTATTGAGAGATGAAAGAGCCTGAAACTCTCTCAGTTGAGGAGTTATACTCATAGCTCGACTTAAAAACCATTTACTCCGTTCAATTAGTAGCCGCTTAACTTTATTTAAGCGTGAGAAAGTATCTGGAAGATATAATCTAATCACTAGAATAACAGAGGAATTTTTATCACTTTTCTCACGCCTTTCCACCTGAGATACAAAGGTCATGAAATGTACTAAAAAGGTAAAAAAAAAAAGACATTCGCACACAAAATGCAGAAAAATAAAACAACAATGACATTACCTTTCCAAGAACGTGTGTACTTTGGACAGAATTCTCCAGGGGATCTTTTGTGAGCAGAACCAGATCATTTTCCAGACAACCTAAAGATATTTCAGATGCTTTCTCATCAGGACGACCTCGGATTATATGAAAATCATCAATCCTTTCCACAGAAACTATAGAAAGACTGCCACAATGCTTGTCTTCTACAGATGACTCTAAAAATGAATGGCGCAACTGAGCTTTGAACTCTTCCAAAACTAGTGGCTGGAAAATTTTAACATAATGATCTGAAGATTGGAAATGTAAAGGAACTTCATTGAAATTTGAGGTTGTCTTGTCAAGTTCATCAGTGGAATATAGTCCCACTATCACAAAGTAATCCATTTCCAAGATGGACTTGTACCAAACATCCAATCTAGGAGGTTTAAGTCTTCTCGAAGATACGTTCATTCTATTGAGCAAGCAAGATTTCTGATTGGCAGGCATTTGAAGTTGGATTACTTTTCTTTTGGGAGCAAGCATTGTTGGCTTCGATACTACTGGTTTTGAACAAACAGCATGGTCAAGTGCAAGCTCCAAAGGATTATTAATGTCAACTTGAACCAACTGTTCGATCATAGCAACTGCCTGCTCTGGGCGTGTAACAGTTCTAGTTATCTTGGTAGGAGGAATTTCAACTAATGATTGACCATTTTGGGCTCGAACATTTCGACCCCTGTCGGAAGAAGACTTAACAAAGCTACTATTTTTTAAAGCCTTAATACCATGACCTCTTTCTTGCATATGAGAACCTCCAATTTTACGGGAAAATGATTCTTCATTAGAAGATGTTTTATTATTCACAAGATTATCCTCTTCCTGAGAAGAACAAGGGTCGTCCTCAACAAAAATTCCAGAAGGAAAGGGCTCAAGCATGTCATAGTTAGAACTAGCAAACACGGACTTGGTCTCACTATCTGGTAGCAAGCCCTTACAAGTAGCTGGAACAGAAGTCCCACTTAACAGGTGCGACTCTGAATTAGTACAGCAAGAGGCTACCACCTCCATTGACGCCACTTCATCAGGTTCATCATCCGAAAGAACAACAACTTCTTTCTCTATATTTTTGTTATTCATTTTAACAACATTAGAACTTGAATTTGAATCAAAATACAAAGATACATTTGAATATGACACATTTTTCCATGAACGAGTTTCAACAGGTAATGATTTTGGCGTGATAATTTTTCTGTCATCTCTGAAGGAAGCAAGACAACAAGAGACCATAAGAATCTCCTCCTGTAAACTATCAACCATAATTGTATCTGGAATGCAAGCATAGTTTGTCAATTAAAAAGTCGTCAAATGGTACAGTTTATAATTGACATGTAAAAACCAAAAAAACTAACCAGCTGACATTAGTTTTTCGATAGAACTTATCATGGATGCAGTTGAGTCATTATATGAATCTTTCAGTATGTTCAACAAAGATTGCATGCATTGCTTCCAGTGCCTAATGATAACCACAAGATGTGATCTACCCCAATCTACCAAATCTGAAAGCCATTTAAAGTCAGATAAACTAGGAACCAAATGCACCACACTTCCTGACAAATTGGAGATAGATAAACTAAGCCTTTCATAAATAGCAGGGAGCGTTTCCAGCAACCGAACACATGTCATCTGAAATAACAAACTGAAACTTGGGGTGGATCAAGGAAAAAAGACTGCGCCGATGATAAATGAATGAAAAGTGCAGAGGATACAGCCAGATATAATTTTATTAACAATGGCATATTTAAAGGAAGAGACTTCAAGAATCCTACCTGACACTTTGTGTTATTTATAAGCTCCTTGCCTTCGACTAGGCATTTTAATACAGGAGACCACATGGTAGCAGAAAGCAAGCAACTGAATTTCTCCCAAGATTTAATGTCCACTTGATTAGGTTGGCATTCAAAAGGCTTAGCTGGCAAATGATTAATGAAAGGTTGCGGCAAAAAACCCCCCTGCGAAGACAATGTTCTGCTTGGATACAACTGAGAGTTCGGAGGTGCTTTCATGGGAGATCTTACCAATTCCTTCAATAGTTTCCCCGAGACAAAGAACACATGGTGGAGACTATGAAAACTATCAATCATGGGGTTACAATGAACCTACAAATTAACCATAGTTAAATTTCAGAAACAACACTAAATTTTGCATCAAGTAAAATAAAAGATTGTTGCAGAAATTAGAGCCATACATGCATGCATCAAAATGGATGTACAAATAGGCAAACAAAGACCAATCACTCAGCCAAACAAGCTGGCATCAATACAAGAATGCATCCATACTTCACAGAAATACATCCATCCACAAATAAATGCATGCTCGTTCCCAAATGCATGCAAATGTCAATGCATGAATCAAATCTTACATGAACAGGATGTACCGTTCCCGATGCATGCATAGCGGTTAATGGATAGATGCATCCATGAATGCAAACTTTCAAATAAACAAATGCAATGTAATAATAATTAGGACTTCCATTTACACGTGTCATTGTACAGAAATGAACTTGATAAAATTTTATGAATTCATATAGATTCAGACAATTACAATGTACCACAATCAAAACAATTTGGATTTCCTAAATAAGTCATGTGTTAACAATCTTTGGGTAGCTGAATCATTAATTCAGGTGTAAACATAAAGAACTTATTTGACCACCTTTTTGAAATATGAACTATTTCTGGTGGCATCAATCCTGAGAGCTGGCAAGTAATTCATGCCTGAAAAACAAATGGCATAATTTTGATGATTCAATAACCAATGTATCCAGTGCTTGAGGCTCCTGCCACTGCGAGCTAAAGAAAGGTTGGTGTGTTTAGCCTTAACCCTACGTTTGAGACTCAGCAACCAGTGCTGGAAATAAAGCAGGATTCTATACAGCAAAGGTACACAGAATTATAGTAAAACACGCTCATAACGTAGCGGCAAGGAATGTGTATCAATTCTTTCAATGTTCCTAGTTTAGGAGATTAAACTTTCCTGGAACTTTCTTGTGGCCTAACTGGGTCTGCTCACTCCTCAAACAAATTTTGTATTCTATTACAGCGGTGAAACTGCATTAAATAAAGGTGAACTCAGTCAACTGCCATTTGTTCTCCTTTTGAATTTGAACGGCTTACAAAAATATGATTTGTGTTCAATTATCAAGTTAAAATGTATTTAACTCTTTCTTCCATTAGCAAAGTTCCTTTAAGCAATAACCAAAATTAAAAAGAAAATAACATAAACATGAAAAATCACTGTTCTCTGGGTTTGCTATAAAAAATTACTTGAGAAAGACTAACATAGAATGCTTCATAACTACAAAACTTCAGCCACGTCATCATACTTGATAGCATACAAAAGATAAGGTCGCCTTTAATGAAGGATCTATAAGACCTGCTAAAAAGCATCTATAAGTTACCTGTTTAAACATAAATCTTAACCCCACAAGCATGGAAGACAGAGAAGTTGCACTAGAACAAAGAAACTGGAGTCCAGAAGTCAAAAGACTCTCACTAGACAAATGCTCCAAAATAATTTTACCAGCTTTCCTCACAACCTGCATATTTTACAGTTTTATGTCATGAGGTCAGGCAAACAAATAAAATGAGATTACGAAGTTCATGTTATTTTCTTTACATTTGAATTTCATAGTTTAAATAATCTTCAATAAAAAGAATTTTTAATAAATTAAAAACAGTTAGAATCGCACATCATCAGGGTCTACAAGCGAAAGTATCATGCTCTCAGCCATTTTTGGTTCCCATGTCCATTGTTTCTGAAGCTCAAGTTTTTCCATTTGCAAGATGAATTCAGCAGCAAGCCTAACAATGATTACCAAAAAATTAATCAAAACAATGCCAAGAAGAAAGATCTTATGTTGCTCAAGCAACAAGGAATCCAATAGAATAACACTCGTTATCCACAAATTCACATCATAAGACTACAGGAAACTCAATTTCACTAAAATAAATCAAACAATGACAAAATTATAATGGAGAACATAACTACAATAATGAAAGTACCGAAAACCTCTTAAATGTTCGTAATAATGGAATGCCCAAAGATGATGCCTTAATGGAGTTTCTTGACTCCTTCCCTTCCCCACCGTCATCAAAACCAGTTGGAATCTGCCACCCAAATGATGAAGAGATCTCACTAGCGTGAATGGACAACCAGTCCCGAACTGAGAGTGATATATCTACACTGAAGTTCAATTCCAACACAGATAAACGTGACAAAGCCCAGAAGACAGCTTTTGAAAACGTTATGGGGAGAGTTGCGGGGCCCACTTCAACCAAACAATCAGTCCATAGCATTGGAATGCATGTCCAACATGTACATTCAGATGAAGCGAGCTTGCTCAGCATGTTAAATTCGGTCCAACAACTGTTATCCCTTTCTTCCACATCTTCAGATAAAATGGGCTCATCTTCCTCGTCAATGAAATAACCTTGGGTGCTTAATTTACATTTATGAATAGCACTATCCTTCTGCTTAAGAGATATCAGAGCAGATGCGTCAGAAATTATAATTGTTGTGATAAGATCAAATGCTGGTTGCCGAAGAGAACTATGTAAGGACAAATTCTTCAAAGAATTCACCAAAGTTGGACCCCTATAAACAAAATTAAGTTAATCTTATCCACAAAGAACACGGTTAAATATCAATAAATCAAGATTTGTTTCAATCACACAAAGAAAGTTGAGATGAGACATCCCTTGTCCAGAGAAGTTTGCCATCACAATAATAACAAGTATTCTAACCAGGATACTGACAAACAAAGGCGCACACAAATTGCTTGGATTCTGTTCAAGCCTTTGACCCATATTTATACAGCCATAAAATAGGAAGTATACAAAATCAGGAACTAAAATTTATCTATATAATAAATTAGTGCATACGGACTGGTGAGGTGATATCCATGAGCAAATGACTTAATGAGGTGGCATGGGATGGCATGCAAGGCACGGATCTAGCTGTAATTCATGAAGGGTGATTGATATTAATTACAAACGTTGATATATCCCCTCGAATTGATTATAGTTGAACAAGAAAGCATTAATTTGCTTAAAAGAAGCTGATACCTCTGCTCGATTAATGCTTTCAAAAGAGAAATGATTTGAGAATTGAAAGCTTCCCGAATTGAGTGACAATCAACTTTAATACACTTGGTCTTATCATAATACACTACATTTCCAACCATTTTAGTAGCATTGGAATTCTTGGCATGTATTTCTTGAGCAAAATTGATTATTCCAACAAAAAGGTTCAAATAATGCCTAAGAGGTAACGATTTTTACGTTCAGTGATTCCATTTTTTTAAGTGTATAGGAGATACTATATCTAAGAAAAAATTCTTTTGTTTTGAAGAAAATAATGACAGTCAAGCTACATATATTCACTCTCAAAGTCTGTTCATAAAATTTTAATGTGAGATAAAAAGGGTTCCAATATAAATAATAATGTTTTGAAAGACGGTGAACACTTCATATTTTTAACAAAGAAAGTAGTCTAGAAATACTTGCTTAATCATCGATGAATGTTACTGTGGGCTCCGAAAATTCGGCCCCGGCCTCCACCCGACTATTGTTTGTTTTTTGCTTTTGGCGAGGGAGTTTTAACATAATTAAGTTCCGGGGTAAATTTTGGAAGGTAGATGGGTTTGTAAGATAAGACACTACGAAAGATTCCGCCCTCATTTTGTGAGGACTTTATGATCTGAGTTTTTGTTTCCTATAGGCGCAAGCCCCTATAGTTAATTACCCCTCCCAATAATGAGACAGAACTTTCGATTAAGGCTAGTCATCAATCAGATACATTGAAGATACGTAGTATCTGGCATATAGTAGCAGCATGGGCTTGAAGTAGAAAATGTAGAGATTTGATATTTAAAATAGAAATTTCACCATCTTTCACTTAAAGCGGATGGTGGGGGAATGGTTGATGGACCCGATCAAGATCCCATGGTTCTGTCGTCCCGGACCATCGTGGTCCCTGGTCTACTTAGTCAGAGGAGGTAGTTGACCCAACCTGACATAATGATCCTTATCGGCAGCCATGGGTTGCTTCGTCCAAGGGGACCTTGTAGACCTGGAAAGAATGTTTGTATAAGGGGACAAATTTGAATCCACCTTAGCTAATAGAGGGCTTTATGCCCTATTGATCATATCCTATCGATTCATATCTCAAGAATTTGATGTCATTAAGGAGTGTATTGGCTCTGGCCATAAACAGTATTTCGTGGTGTCATTTGGCGGCAAAACCACTCGGTTCAGAGAGTCCCGGGTCATAACCGTTTATCCTGCGATGTCATTTGGTGGCAAAACAGCCGGTTAGAGGACATGTACCAAATCCTTATTGGCAGCAGATTGTTTGAGAATGGATACTAGTGATATTTTCGACTAGGCATTAGCTCTTTGTGAGATGAAGTAAATTTTAATTTGCCCACCTCGGCAAACTATTGAGAAGGGTGGATGGATTTTGCTTTAATTGTTTGATAGCTGGATTTCAATTTTAAATATTTTGGATTTTGGGATTGATTTTGGAATATTTGGATTTTTTTGAATTATTGTGGGTATTTGGGTGGAGCTTGAAGGACATTTGAATACTTGGAATTAACCCCTCCAGTTGATATTTGCCTTCAACGCGGCCATCATCGGGGTGTTTGAGGTCATTTCCGTTTGAAAATATTTCTATTTTTGTGAATGAACCTTATCAACTTTGTTGAGCTGTCAACATAGGATCGAGTTTTGTAGGCTTCATGCCTTTGTTTGTGAATTTTCTTTGTTAAGGGCCTTGAATGCCTAATATGAATTTATAAAATAAATATTCCGGTCAACTTCGTGGCCGCATATTTATCCAATGATTCGAACCCTGTCTACTCCTATTTATCTGCTTATGAGGATCGGGTTTTATAGGCTTTATGCCTTTGTTAGTGAATTCTCTTGATTATAGCCCTTGAATGACTGATATGAATGTATTAAAACAAATACATCAGTCGCCACAACCATATATTTATTTGATAGTTCGAACCCTGTCGACTTATATTGATCCATATAGAATGATTAGACTCGAACATGAATTCACTTATTGACCCACGTAGCATCCCTAGACGTCACATGTGTACTAATAACACGCTCGTCGGGACCCATGCGGGTGTTTGATTGTAATTACCCCTTGGTGTACCTACGTGCATACAAACTACAGTGCATGTATGGGGGTGCTTTGAGATATTTTAGTTGTGCAGGTAACTGCCATTTGAACGCACACAATGCTTCATTTGAGAGCTTATATAAGCCTTCTGTCTGCTAGTTACAAGTGTTGCGGATCCGGTGGCGGTATTATCTGGATGTCATGAGGTATCTCATCATCTTGATGTTGACTCCCCTTTTCTCATTCACCGGGGAGGTCCTTCTTGAAATTCGTGGACACTGCCTTGAAAGAAACTCTTTTCAAGTTACTTAGTGTAGTAGACTTGTTATTTCTGGTGTTTGTGGACACCAGAACTATTTTCTTAAGTATAAAACTAAGAAGAAACTCTGGAACACCAGAATGTTTAGTTCTAATTTGTTCAAATATCCCTTTCCTTCTATCAGGGGGTGTCCTCCATACACCGAGTTGCCCTTGTACTCGACGTACTCGTAGTTCTTGGTCACCGTTGTCATATGTGACATCTGTACTTGTACCCATAAGGGTTCGTTGTACTTACGATATACGCATTGTTGTTACCCACAAGTAGCTTGTGTTCATTTGCAGGGGACCCATTGTATCCACTACTGTAAAACCCGGAATTCTTCATTTGAGTGCATCGCACGCATATCGATGCGTCGCGACGAACTTAAGTGAAATTTCGATGTCATCGTAATTCGACGAAATAAATTTTATTAAATTCGTCTCGAAATTTCGATCGAAACGGTATAAATAACTTATATTAAATTTCGCACAGTTTTGGAGTTAAAATTCGCCGAAGTTCGTTTAAGTAATATTTGGCCTTTTCTACCCATTTTGCCCTTCATGAATTAAAAGAAAACCTTTAAGATAAGGGTACATGCATAATTTGACTTCCTAAATCTCCTTAAGCCCCCTCATATGCCTAAGGCACCGAACATTTTCGGTCCCTTGTTGTTTTCTTTCGGCCGCACGCGAGAAGAGGAGGAGAAGGGCGACGAGAGAGCTTGGGGGAACGGCGGCCAGCGAGATTCCGGCGAGGGATCTTTAGGAAAAACGTAGGGAAAGCCTTGGGGTAAGTGTTTCTTCAAAAATATGAAAGATTTCTTGAGTTTTTTGTATAGAAAAATTTTAGGGTTTGAATTTTTGGATCATTTCTTTAGAAAACTTTTAGGGTTTGCTTATATTCATATTTTTATGTTTTAAAGTTGATGATTTCGTAAAGGAAAACATTAAATCTGAAATTAGGGTTTTTGTTTTATGCTTTATTTTATAGGGATTGTTAGAAGAATGTGATGAAAGGATTTTGGTATAAGAAATGCAAAGTTTTCTTAAAGAATTTTGAGTTTAAAAATTAGGGAAAGCTTAGGGTTTTTACAAACTTAGGGATTCTAGTATGGCATGTTCACTAAAGGTATTTCAAATTATTTAGAGAGGTCTCTAAATATAAGAAATTGTAATTTTGAGAAAGAAAAATAATTTTCTTCATTATTTTATGATTAATTCCGAAAATAATAAGGATTTATTTATAAGTATAAGATAGAGGAACGTTTTAGAAGGATTTATGATGAATTTTTAGGTTCTCATACTTTATATTTTATTTAAATCCGAAATTTAATTAGACAAAAATCACAATTTTGTATGAGGTTGATGTTCTTTTACCTTATAGATAGGTGGAAGAAGATTATGGGAAGCCTATAAAAGAAGTTGTGAAACATAAAGTTTAAATTGGCAAGAAGTTTAAATTGAGTTATTTGTCTATAGATAGTGGCAAGAAGAAGAGTGAAGAAAGCGGAGAAGAAACGGATTTCATAGGTTTTGGAGGTAGGAATTCTTTTCTTTATCATGCTTATATCATTTTTGTTAAGCTCTTATGACATGATTTGATAAATGGAATAGTTGTTACACATGCAATCTAGTTACTTCATGGTTTCTTTCATGCTATCATGCTTATATCATTTTTGTTAAGTTCTTATGACATGATTTGAGAAATGGAATAGTTGTTACACCTGCAATACACATGCTATCTAGTTACTTCATTGTTTCTTTCATGCTTAAGTGTAATTATTATAAGTTATCTAATTCATGATTTGAGATTCATGTCATACATTAGTTCATGGAAATATATGACTTTGTATGAAAAGGAAGGAATATATGTTCATATGAAAATAATATAGAAATGATTATGCATGATTGATTACGGAGTACCAAAGACGGTGCAAAAGCACATTATGGCCCTTGGGCAAAAGAGGAAAAAGGAAGTAATGGCCAAAAGAGGTTTGTGTACCTGATCAGTACACCCCTGGTACTCCGGGACGGTTGAATATGTTAAATAACTGAGATGACATTCATTTCATACATATTTAAATGACATATGCATGTGACACCTAAATTATTTTCCATTCATATGATATAAACAAGATATCATGAGCAAGAAAAGAAAAGAA